AAATTGTCTTCAGGTGCTGGTTACAAAATATCGAGGGAGGATTGCCTAATTACTAAAATACACTGTATTTACGCTAAAAGTACTCTATTTTCGCTTAAAACGCAAAATCATAGAGATAAGGTTTAGTATTTGTGACACTCATATCTTGCTGTGTGTTTATCCGTTTTGAGCGTATTATATCTCGTTGGAAAGATTGATCGGAGCTTTAAAGCTATTGTTCCAAATTCATTTACAATTCATTAATTAAAAGTTACAGATTAACGATATATTCACAAATGTTTCTTATTTCACTCCGAACTCGTGTAGAATTTGATGCGTTAATATCTTGCTCTATTTTGTGCCGTTGAAAGCGTTTAATATCACGTTGGAAATATCATACCGAGTTCTAAAACTTGTCTTCAGGCGCTGGTTTCAAAATATCAATGGACGATTGCCTAATTACTAAAATACACTGTATTTACGCTAAAAGTGCTCTATTTTCGCTGAAAACGCTAATTCATAGAGATGAGGCTAAGTATTTGTAACACTCATATCTTGCTGTGTGTTTATCCATTTGGAGCGTATTATATCTCGTTAGAATGATACATCGGATCTCTAAAGCTATTTTTCCAACTTCATTTACAATGAGTTAATTAAAAGTTACAGATTAACCATATATTCACAAATGTTTCTGATTTCACTCCGAACTCGTGTAGAATTTGATGTGATCATATCTTGCTCTATTTTGTGCTGGTGAAAGCGTTTAATATCTCGTTAGAAAGATCTTAGCGAGTTCTAAAACTTGTCTTCAGGCGCTGGTTTCAAAATATCAAAGGATGATTGCCTAATTACTAAATTACACTGTATTTACGCTAAAAGTGCGCTTTTTTCGCTGAAAATGCTAAATCATAGAGATAAGGCTAAGTATTTGTGACACTGATATCTTGCTATGTGTTTATCCGTTTGGATCATATTATATCTAGTTGGAAAGATAGATCGGACGCCCTAAAGCTATTGTTCCAACTTCATTTACAATGCATTAATTAAAAGTTACAAATTAACCATATATTCAGAAATGTTTCTGATTTCACTCCGAACTCGTGTAGAATTTGATGCGATTATATCTTGCTCTAATTTTTGCTGTGAAAGCGTTTAATATCTCGTTGGAAAGATCTTACCGAGTTCTAAAACATGTCTTCAGTCGCCGGTTTCAAAATATCAAGGGATGATTGCCTAATTACTAAAATACACTTTATTTACGCTAAAAGTGCTCTATTTTCGCTGAAAACGCTAAATCATAGAGATAAGGCTAAGTATTTGTGACACTCATATCTTGTTATGTGTTTATACGTTTGGAGCGTAATATATCTCGTTGGAAAGATAGATCGGAGCTCTAAAACTATTGTTCCAACTTCATTTACAATGCATTAATTAAAATTTATAGATTAACCATATATTCACAAATGTTTCTGATTTCACTCTGAACTCGTGTAGAATTTGATGCGGTCATATCTTGTCGTCAGGCGCTTGTTTCAAAATATCAAGGGATAATTGCCTAATTATTATTATTATTATTATTATTATTATTATTATTATCATTATCATTGTTATTATTATCATTGTTATTATTATCATTGTTATTATTATCATTGTTATTATTATCATTGTTATTATTATCATTGTTATTATTATCATTGTTATTATTATCGTTGTTATTATTATCGTTGTTATTACTATCGTTGTTATTATCATCGTTATTATTATTATCATTATTATTATCATTATTATTATCATTATTATTATTATCATCATTATTATTATTATTATTGTTATTATCATTATTATTATTATCATCATTATTATTAACATTATTATTATTATCATTATTATTATTATCATTATTATTATTATCATCATCATCATCATTATTATTATTATTATTATTATTATTTATTATTAATATTATTATTATTATTATTATTATTATTATTATTATTATTATTATTATTATTATTATTATTGTTATTATTATTATTATTATTATTATTATTATTATTATTATTATTATTATTATTATTATTATTATTATTATTATTAAAAGTATTATTATTGTTATTTTATTATTATTATTATTCATATTATTATTATTACTATTATTATTATTATTATTATTATTACTATTATTATTATTACTATTATTATTATTATTATTATTATTATTATTATTATTAGGGTTATTATTATTGTTATTTTATTATTATTATTATTATTATTATTATTATTAATATCTCGTTGGAAAGATCTTACCGAGTTGTAAAACTTGTCTTCAGGCGCTGGTTTCAAAATATCAAGGGATGATTGCCTAATTACTAAAATACACTTTATTTACGCTAAAAGTGCTTTATTTTCGCTGAAAACGCTAAATCATAGAGATAAGGCTAAGTATTTGTGACACTCATATCTTGGTGTGTGTTTACCCGTTTGGAGCGTATTATATCTCATTGGAAAGATAGATCGGAGCTCTAAAGCTATTGTTCCAACTTCATTTACAATGCATTAATTAAAAGTTACAGATTAACGATATATTCACAAATGTTTCTGATTTCACTCCGAACTCGTGTAGAATTTGATGCGATCATATCTAGCTCTATTTTGTGCCGTTCAAAGCGTTTAATATCTCGTTGGAAATATCATACCGAGTTCTAAAACTGGTCTTCAGGCGTTGGTTTCAAAATATCAATGGATCATTGCCTAATTACTAAAATACACTTTATTTACGCTAAACGTGCTCTATTTTCGCTGAAAACGCTAAATCATAGAGATAAGGCTAAGTATTTGTGACACTCATATCTTGCTGTGTGTTTATCCATTTGGAGCGTATTATATCTCGTTGGAAAGATAGATCGGGGCTCGAAAGCAATTGTTCCAACTTCATTTACAATGCATTAATTAAAAGTTACAGATTAACCATATATTCACAAATGTTTCTGATTTCACTTTGAATTCGTGTAGAATTTGATGCGATCATATCTTGCTCTATTTTGTGCCGTTGAAATCGTTTAATATCTCGTTGGAAAGATCTTAATGAGTTCTAAAACTTGTCTTCAGGCGCTGGTTTCAAAATATCAAGGGATGACTGACTAATTACTAAAATACACTGTATTTACGCTAAAAGTGCTCTATTTTCTCTGAAAACGGTAAATCATAGAGATAAGGCTAAGTATTTCTGACACTCGTATCTTGCTGTGTGTTTATCCATTTGGAGCTTATTATATCTCGTTGGAAAGATAGATCGGAGCTCTAAAGCAATTGTTCCAACTTCATTTACAATGCATTAATTAAAAGTTACAGATTAACGATATATTCACAAATGTTTCTGATTTCACTCCGAACTCGTGTAGAATTTGATGCGATCATATCTTGCTCTATTTTGTGCCGTTCAAAGCGTTTAATATCTCGTTGGAAATATCATACCGAGTTCTAAAACTGGTCTTCAGGCGTTGGTTTCAAAATATCAATGGATCATTGCCTAATTACTAAAATACACTGTATTTACGCTAAACGTGCTATAGTTTCACTGAAAACACTAAATCATGGAGATAAGGCTAAGTATTTGTGACACTCATATCTTGCTGTGTGTTTATCCATTTGGAGCGTATTATATCTCGTTGGAAAGATAGATCGGGGCTCCAAATCTATTTTTCCAACTTCATTTACAATGCTCTAATTAAAAGTTACAGATTAACCATATATTAACAAATGTTTATGATTTCACTCTGAACTCGTGTAGAATTTGATGCGATCATATCTTGCTCTATTTTGTGCCGTTGAAAGAGTTTAATATCTCGTTGCAAAGATCTTACCGAGTTCTAAAACTTGTCTTCAGGCGCTGGTTTCAAAATATCAAGGGATGATTGCCTAATTACTAAAATACACTTTATATACGCTAAAAGTGCTCTATTTTCGCTGAAAACGCTAAATCATAGAGATAAGGCTAAGTATTTGTGACAGTCATATCTTGTTGTGTATTTATCCGTTTGGAGCGTAATATATCTCGTTGGAAAGATAGATCGGAGCTCTAAAACTATTGTTCCAACTTCATTTGCAATGCATTAATTAAAAGTTACAGATTAACAATATATTCACAAATGTTTCTGATTTCACTCCGAACTCGTGTAGAATTTGATGCGATCATATCTAGCTCTATTTTGTGCCGTTCAAAGCGTTTAATATCTTGTTGGAAATATCATACCGAGTTCTAAAACTTGTCTTCAGGCGCTGGTTTCAAAATATCAAGGGATGATTGCCTAATTACTAAAATACACTGTATTTACGCTAAAAGTGCTCTATTTTCGCTGAAAACGCTAAATCTTAGAGATAAGGCTAAGTATTTGTGACACTCATATCTTGCTGTGTGTTTATCCATTTGGAGCGTATTATATCTCGTTGGAAAGATAGATCGGGGCTCGAAAGCTATTGTTCCAACTTCATTTACAATGCATTAATTAAAAGTTACAGATTAACCATATATTCACAAATGTTTCTGATTTCACTTTGAACTCGTGTAGAATTTGATGCGATCATATCTTGCTCTATTTTGTGCCGTTGAAATCGTTTAATATCTCGTTGGAAAGATCTTAATGATTTCTAAAACTTGTCTTCAGGCGCTGGTTTCAAAATATCAAGGGATGACTGACTAATTACTAAAATACACTGTATTTACGCTAAAAGTGCTCTATTTTCTCTGAAAACGGTAAATCATAGAGATAAGGCTAAGTATTTCTGACACTCGTATCTTGCTGTGTGTTTATCCATTTGGAGCTTATTATATCTCGTTGGAAAGATAGATCGGAGCTTTAAAGCAATTGTTCCAACTTCATTTACAATGCATTAATTAAAAGTTACAGATTAACTGTAACACCCCCATTTTCCCCAACAAAAAATACATTTAAATAATGATTTATTTGAAGGAATTATCAACTTTATTTGAAAACATCAGAGATACAGCGGAAGTCTTAATAGGGAAATGGGTGTTACCGCCACACTCGGTTCTCACATAACCGAATGCACAGGCTAAACCACCATCCAAAAATAATCCAAGTATTTAAGTACTGAAAATTTCAAAAATAATTTAAATGTCTACATGTTCTCAAACTGAAATAAACAATAACTAGGTGATTATAAATACTAAACTACGTGATCTAACGCAGCTCTCATCATCATGCATAACCTTCATCACCTGCACAATTAAAGTGCAGAAAACAAAACAAAGAAAAGGAAACAAAAATTAGCTTTTTAGCTAAGTAAGGCCCACCCAACCCCGTAAAATAATCACGTTTGACGAAAATAGTTTTATACATAACTATAACTTTAAAAATTCATTTTCTTCCCACAAAACTAATTTGGTGTTTAAAATAATATTTATAAACTCTTAGTAACTCACACATTCATATACAAGTATCACTTTTCAAAATATAATTTATAGCTAATCACTCTTTTTAAATATACTCGATTGCTCTTTGAAAATAACCTCTATAGTCTTCCTCTTTCCAAAACCAAAATCTCCTACTTTCTTTTAAGATGGGCGGTACTTTCGGATACTTATGCCCGAAGCCCAATGAGTCGTTATTATTTACGAACTCATCCCGGAATCCAGTTCCCATCACTATCTCTTGAATCGAAACGGCCACTAAGCTTGTTCTCTTCAAGTAGTAGTAGCCCTAACCATCCTCCACATTTATCCGGATGTGAAAAACCGACACCACGGATTTCTCCCGGGGTGCTCACCTCTTATGAAAATGTTAATTTTCATCTTGAATCAAGATACACTTCAAAATATTTTCCAAACTCTCTAAATAGTTCAAAAGGTGTTTAAAAGTATTTAATACCCCAAAAGTACATAGTTTGTATTTCTCAAATACTATAGATTAAATATCTCTTTAAATAACACATATACATAATTCAAAAACTCAATACATAATCATATAGCACATAATAATCACATAGCACAAAATATTTCTCAAGTCTCCAAATATTCTCAATGGTGTTTAAAAATATTTAATACCCCAATATCTCAACTTTCTCAAATACTATAAATTTAATGTCACTTCAAATAATACATATTCAAAATTCACACTTTAATCAAATAATAGCATATAATACGAGGAAACCATTTTGGATCGGCAGAGAAACTTAAAATTTATGGTTTATCCAAAACTAGTTCCAAAATAGTATTTAATACCATATTCAAAATAATCCAATAAGGATATTTATAACTCCAGAATATATATATAAATTTTCATACCAAATTATACATTTAAAAATATATAATTTATCCCAAAAGATTTGATCTCACAACACTTTCCAAAAAGAGGGTTTAACCCAAACAACCACTTCCCAAAAGTAGCATTTACTACTACCACCAAAATAATCAAATAGGAGTATTCTAAACCCATAATATATTTTCAATATAACCAGTTATAATAGTCTCAAATCATTCTTCAACTCATACCAAAACAATCACCAAAATTTTCCAATCCCAAAAGAACAATCATCAAAAATCACAATTTTAGCCATGATAAACTGATTTGATAAATTCACCAAAAATCACACGTTCATAAATTCCCAAAAAATCATACATCCTCATACTCATACTATTATAGCCGAATTATCCATAAAAGTTCAGAAAGACACTCAAATCATAGCACAAACCCTAGTTTATACAATATAGGGGCAAAATAGTAATTTTGGTTGCAATAGTCCTTACCTCGAGGCTAGGAACGAATCCTAAACGTCAAACCTAGTTTGTTGGATCATTCCCACGTACCTAGGAAGTGATAGGTTCGAAAGATCTCAATTTAGGAGAAAGAAATTTAGGAAACGGATGAACGACGCGAATTAGGCAACAAACGCACTTACCGGAATATTGGATTGTTTGATCTCATCATTGACATAACATTTAGTGCTGGATACGTTAATATTCAAGAGATTTAAGGGATAGAGCTTGAAGAGGCGGTCCTAGGGTTTTTTGAATGAGGAAAATCGGATTAGGGATGTATTTATAGTGAATTTCCGAAGTTTGAGTTGCATTAGGATACAACAGGAACGCACGCGTGCGTACCTTCTACGCACGCCGTGCGTGACCCCCAGACGCCCCAAACCTTAGTTTTTACCCCGTTTCTTCCCCATTTGGACCTCCCCATTGTCCCAAACACTAAACCAAACATAATAAACGACCTAAATACCGTGTAAACAATATGAAACACAATTTTAATTATTTCCCAAATTCTCTCAAATTTTCGGGGTATTACATTCTACCCCCTTAAAGGACGCTTCGTCCCCGAAGCTCAAGTCAAAACACAGTCGAGATGAAACACTGAAGGAAATACCTTATCAAAAGGGATCTAGATATAGAATACTAAGAGTTTACTTACCTCAACCACGTTCCTATGGGTTGCCATAGTTCTTACAAAAGAGAGACGCAAAGTTCAGAATACTAGAAACTCTTACAGATCCCTACCAAGTTCTATCTAAGATCACAAGATATAGGATACTAGGAATATACTCATAACTATTCTCAAGTTTACTAACTCACAATATACTCTAGGATAAGGAACACCTACAAGCAACCATTGGAAAAATTCCATTCAATTCACAAATCTCAAATCAATCCAAGACATCACAAAATACAACAACAAAAATCAATCACACAATCTCACACGCGCATAAGCCATAAAATTCCTCCCTAATAAGATTCATTAATCCTAATTAATGAAAATAATATGTCAATTCAAAAAGTTTTTTGAAAATCTTTAAAAGATTTTGAAAAACAAAGGCTCTGATACCAATTTGTAACACCCCCATTTTCCCCAACCAAAAACACATTTAAATAATGATTTATTCAAAGGAATTATCAACTTTATTTGAAAACATCAGAGATACAGCGGAAGTCTCAATAAGGGAAATGGGTGTTACCGCCACATCCGGTCATCTCTCAACCGGATGCACAAGCAACTAAAACACAACAACTAATTTAATAAAAATAAAGTGTTTGTAAAGTAAATGTTTATTCCATGACTAGTATAACTAAGACGACTTCTAATTCGCTCTCGGGCCATGCAAGCAATCATCAATCGACAAAATGATCCTCACCTGCACAAATAAAGTGCAGATACAAAACAAGGAAAAGAAAACAAAAATTAGCTTTAGAGCTAAGTAAGTACTACCCAACCCCGTAAAATAATCATGTTTGACTAAAATAGATCTTTATATAATAATATATAAAAATACTCACACCATCGAAACTCTTTTCACTTTGATTTTTCTCAAACTACTTCTTTACAAAAATGCTCAACTTCTCTTTAAAACTTCATAATAACTCTTCTCTTTGATTTCCTCAAAAATCACTTCTTTTCTAGCTTCCTAGTAATTTAGAAGGGCGGTGCTCAACCTTTCGGTAGAGCCCGGTGGACCGTGGTTACGGACGGCCACCCCGAATAAGTGCCGGTACCATAACTGCTCTGTTTGAAACGAAACGACTACCTTAAGTGTGCACACCCCCTAAAAGGGATTCCAAGCCCTCCGAGTAGTAAGTCGTAACGAGTAGTCGGGACTCAGTCTACCAACTACCCCTGAATAAGATATCTTGAATGATTAGGGACTACTACTACCATAACTTCTTCTTAAAAGGGATCATCGATCCAAATATCACTTTAAACTCAAACTGTACTTCTTAGTAGTAGCAGACCTAATCACCCTCCACATTTATCCGGACGTGGAAATCCGACACCACGGATTTCTCCCGTGATGCTCACCTCTTATGAAATCATTCTTTTATCTGGAATTAATATACTTCAAAATATTTCTCAACTTCTCAAACTGCTTTAAAAATATTTAGATAAAATATTTACCCCCAAAAGCACTTAGTTTCACGAATCATCTCAGAATCACATGCATAAAAGTCATACTTCACACTTAAAAAAATCACGTATCACATAATACATATATAATACGAGGAAACGATTTTTGGATTGGCAGAGAAACTTACCTCAAACTCTAGAGAATTCTTCTACATTGCTCCTGATTACTCAAACCACCCTTTATAAAAATTCAAAAATCAATATGTAACTACAGTTAAATTTCTCTAACCTTTATTAATAAATTCCCCTTTTTATGATTCTATTGTAATTAATCCTAATAATCATCCGTAATAATTCTATACTTATGTTTTAGTTATAATTATCATTTAGTGATTCTTTCATTGAAGTCAATCCAGCGTACGTAGTATTATTTATTCTTTAACATTTTAGCCAACTAATAAACAGCCCAGCCGAACCAGCCCAAAAGAGTAGCAACAGACTACAGAGTATGAACTATGAAGTACTACGTATGAAGTACATACATACGTGAATTGTGTGGCCGTCGCTCATAACAGGCGTGCGTAACTCTCCAGTTTTTTTGGTGGCGACAGCGGGGCAGACGTGGCGGCGACTACATACGACCATGTTCTACAATGCGGTGGTGGCGACGTCTCAAGCGAGCGGCGGCCCCGGCTCTTCCTCCGGTGAAGGGTTCCTTCTCTGTCCAGTGAAGAAGACGTACTCCATTGACGGAGATCTTCCTTCTCTTGCGACAAGTGACGGAAATAGATTTGTTATAGGCGGCAAAGTCTAGTGGCAGCAGTCAAGTCCGATGGAAGCAACTTCAGCTTCTTCTCCTCCAACGTGAGAAACGGTGGGCCGGAGGGCGGCAGAAGTGGACCGATCGACGATGACTCTTCTCTTCCTGGAGTGGAACGACTCAACCCAGTTCGATATCCCGAATGGTACTCCGGCGAATACAGCGCGCGGCGGCAAAGCTGCAAAGGTTATTCTAGCCTTTTCTCCGGCGATCTTCTCTTCCGACTGACCGGCGGTCAAGACAACTATGGCCCTCTCTATATTAACTCTCTTTTTCCCTCTCGATGGAGATAGCAATAACATAGATCAAGTATGCTAGCTTTTAGTCTTTGTTTTTTTTTCTTTTTCGTAGGTTGCAGCGGCGTGATGATCGATGGGTATATATATACCAGATCGGAAGGTTCTAGCATTAGGGTTTCAGTTTCATTCGTCGACGATGATTCTTGTAGCCCAGCCCAAGGGCAACGTAATCCTCGTATACTTATTGCCGCATATGACTATGTATTTGAATATGCGTATTTGCAGCCCGCATGTGACTTCTACTTTTCAACCGGTTATGGCCTCTTCGTGGGTAATAATTATTTGGTATTAACCTTTGGTCCGTTTCAGCTTTTACTCATGCTAATGAATGGCCGTTGCAGTCTGTTTCATTACTATGTATGGAATGTACATGTATGCATGCCATATTGCCATGTGTAACATGTTATGTATGCATCATGGTGTCTAGCCTTATTATAGCATGTGTTACGTATGTGTATGTACTAATTTACTTAAGTAACTTAAAATAGTTATAAAATAACTATTTTTACTTATGCCATATGTATAATTGGTACTTGATATAAAACGTTACTTCTATTATCGGACCATTTTTATGTGTCTAAAATTTCGCAAATGTTAAATTTTTGGTTTGACTCAGTTCATAAATAAAGTGTCACTTATTTAATAAAATGTTGTTTCCTATTACTGAAATATTTTTATCTGACTAAAGCGTCGTAAATTTTGAAATTTTATCTGATTAGAAAGTCACGACTGTTGAATTTTTGTTTCACTCACTTAATAATTAAAATGTCATTTCTGTAACATTGTATCTGACTAATAAAATTATTTTTTTTATTTTTATTTAAATTTTTGGAGTGTCACATTAACCATATATTCACAAATGTTTCTAATTTCACTCCGAAGTCGTGTAGAATTTTATACAATCATATCTTGCTCTAATTTGTGCCATTGAAAGCCTTTAATATTCGTTGGAAAGATCTTACCGAGTTCTAAAACTTGTCTTCAGGCGCTAGATTCAAACTATCAAGGGATGATTGCCTAATTTCAAAAATACACAGTATTTACGCTAAAAGTGCTCTATTTTCGCTGAAAACGCTAAATCATAGAGATAAGGCTAAGTATTTGTGACACTCATATCTTGCTGTGTGTTTATCCATTTGGAGCGTATTATATCTCGTTGGAAAGATAGATCGGGGCTCGAAAGCTATTGTTCCAACTTCATTTACAATGCATTAATTAAAAGTTACAGATGAACCATATATTCACAAATGTTTCTGATTTCACTCTGAACTCGTGTAGAATTTGATGCGATCATATCTTTCTCTATTTTGTGCCGTTGAAAGCGTTCAATATCTCGTTGGAAAGATCTTAGTGAGTTATAAAACTTGTCTTCAGGCGCTGGTTTCAATTTTTTTGGATGAACTGTAAGTATATATAAAGGTAACCATCCAAAGAGTTTAACTATACAAGCAAAATTTGAGGTTATCCAAAGATTGGATAACCCATCACCTCCAAAAGAAAACCAGAGAGGCTGGTTAGCACTCTATGCAAAGCTGATCACAAAAACCAAGGTGATGGGCTAATGAACGTCAAAAAACCACCAAGTCATGTGGATAGATGCTATACAAAATTTTATAGACAATATACTTGATTCGAGCAAAAATATCTTCAACTTTAGGGGAAGTGCCATCAAACTTGATAGCATTCCTAGTTCTCCAAATGTGGTAAACCGAGAAGCAAAAAGCAATCCTTGTGGCCTTAGCTATTATGGTGGCTCCACTTCTCTCTTTCTTGATCCATTTCACCGAGCTTGAGAGTGTACCCATCAGTCGCGGCATACCCATCCAGTTCTTCACCAAGCTCCAAATCTTTCCTGAAAAGGGGCATTCAAAGTATAGGTGTGAAGCCGTTTCCAGCCCACCCTTGCACATCACACAAGTGTTAACTACATCTAATCTATGAAGATTATCACATGTAGCTAACCTATTCCGGAATGCCAACCAAGTAGTAAAGGAAAACTTGGGGGGAATATAATCCTTCCAAATAAAGGCCATCCACCTACGGGTAGGGCCTTTAAATCTAAGTAGGTCATAGACTTTTGAGGATACAAGTTTACCTTTAGCTTGAAAAGAGTTCAAGCAACGAATAGTATCAGCCACATCCTCAAATTTGGAGACAATTTCATCCCGAACCATGGCCAGTGTCTTCATTAGTTGTGAATCCCTATGGTGTGGGACAAAATCCCAAACATTTCGGCCATTGAGGTACACACTATGAACCCATTTAACCCAAAGGGTATCCTTTTTAAGATGAATATCCCAGAAACTTTTAGCAAGCAGGGCTGAATTCCAGATTTTAGTATCATGTATTCCAAGGCCTCCTTCATTTTTAGGGAGGCATATATCAGCCCAAGCTACCCTAGAGTACTTACAACCCCAGAGGAATATACGGCACATGGAGGTTATCCTGTCAAGTATTACATTCGGGATAGGAAACAATTGTAACCAAAAAGAATGAACACCCTGTATAACAGCTTTAATAAGTTCAACTCTACCCGCATAGGAGAGGGTTTTAACATTCCATGCACTTATATAGGTGGAAATGGACTCCAATAATGGAGAAAAATGTGTCACCGAAATCTTAAGAGGAGCAAGAGGAACTCCAAGATATTTAACAGGAAAGGAACCTGCTTTAAAATCAACCAAGCTCAAAATGTTATCAAGCTCATATATAGCCATTCCTCCTAAAAAGATGTTGGATTTATCATAGTTAACCCGAAGGCCAGATATGTTACCAAAATCTTCTAAGGAGTCAATGAGGATTTTAATGGATGCATAGTCACCTCTTGAAAAAAGCATCAAGTCATCAGCATAAGCAATATGAGATATTTTCAAACTTCCACACTTAGGATGAAATTTAAAAGGGGCTTCATTGGTTTTCACATTCAATAATCTAGAAAAATATTCCAAGCAAAGGGCAAACAAAAGAGGGGACATAGGGTCACCTTGTCTAAGGCCTCTCTTACCAATGAAGTGTCCATGAAGGGCCCCATTAATAGAAATAGAGTAAGAGGGTGTGGTGACACATTCCATGATCCAATGTATAAACTTGTTAGGAAATCCCAAGTGTAAAAGCATGTTATACAAGAATTCCCATGAAATAGTATCATAAGCCTTCCGTAGGTCAACTTTGATCATACAACGTGGTGAGACATGTTTCCTAGCATATCCTCTAACCAATTCTTGAGCAATGAAAACATTATCAATCATGAACCTACCATCAACAAAAGCCCCTTGGGCAGGGTCTATCAAATTAGGTAAGCATGGAGTCAATCTCTTAGCTAGGATCTTGGTAATCACCTTATAGATAACATTGGTGCAAGAGATCGGTCTAAAATCAGAAGCTGTGGGTGAATGTGTGGTCTTAGGGATCAAGGCAATAAGTGTATGATTGAGTTGTTTAAGTAGCTTACCAGATCCAAAGAAGCCTTTGACAGCTAGTGTAAAATCATGGCCAACAAGGTGCCAATTGTGCTTGAAAAAGGCCGAGGTATAACCATCCGGGCCCGGTGCTTTATTATCACCAATATCAAAGAGGGACTCTTTGATCTCTAGATCAGTAATTGGAGTAATTAACCCCTCAACAGAATCACATGGAAGAAGGTTACCCGAAGTAACAATCCTAGGATCCAAACATAAGGTAGGATAGTGTGTGCCAAATAGATTAGTGTAATAATTAACAAATTCCATAGCAACTTGGTCAATTGAGGTAGTAGAGTCCCCATTAAGAAGCTTAAGAGCAGTAATGGTGTTTCTAGCCATTAAGGTTAAGAAGTTTCTTTTTAATCAATTCAACTTCATTCCTAATGGTGTTATCAAGAGGAGCATGCATGGACAACCCAAGTACCCTTTTGAACTCCTTTTTTGTCTCTTTAACCTTTTCCGAGATATGACCAAAATTGAGTTTATTTAGTTCTTTAAGATGTCTTTTTAAGGTTTTCAACTTTTGGGCAAGAATAAATTGAGAGCTCCCATGTACATCCTTGCCCCAATGGTTGGTGAGAATGGTATTGAAAGATTCATGTCTAAGCCACATATTGAAAAACTTGAAAGGTTTTGTGCCTTTAAAATGATTATGCCCAATAGTAACAAGAGAAGCACTATGGTCAAAATCAGCCTCCATATCACAAAAATGGGTGTTGCAAGAGACACCATTTGTACTCCAAATTGGATTCATAAGCACCCTATCAAGCTTAGCCCAAAGGGATCCTCTATTCCAAGTAAGGAACTCACCCGTGGATGGAGTGTCAACAAGATTAGTTTGGATCTTAAAATCATTTAGATCTTGGATAAGATAGGCCGAGGGAGGGGTGGGACCCACCCTCTCATTTGGACTACCAACGCAATTGAAATCCCCCATTACAAGCCAAGGGCAAGTGATGTTAGGTTCCAAATCAGCTACATGGTTCCAAAGTAATCTTCTCTCCAAAACCGTGTAAAGGGCATAGACAAATGTAACAAAAAAACGCATTTGGGTAGTTTTGCACTTCATTTCACAATGGACATGTTGTTTATCAATTTCAAGGATGTTAACATTTATAAAATTAGGGTCCCAAAGGATTGCCATGCGCCCACCCTCGATTAGGTCAAAATTAGTGCAAGATAGCCAAGAAGGCAGCCTATTTTTGGTAAATCTAACAAAATTAATAGAGGTCATTTTGGTTTCAAGCAAACAACAAGCACGTACACCATTAGAAAGCATAAAATTAACTATCGAGTTTTGTTTGGAGACCTTATTAAGGCCCCGGACATTCCAAGCTGCTAAAAACATAAAAAAAGATTAGTAGGAACTCCCCTTTTTGGCCCTTTTGGCCTCATTCTCCACTGATTTGCTCCTTGTTTTATACCTAACAAGAAAAAGAAAATCATAGATATATTGGATGAAAAAGGAAGTGAAATCATACCCCTCCTCCGTTGTAATGACTCCGGGCAGCCCTTTTAGGCATTGAGTAGTGAAATTCAGCCCCATGGTTTGCCTATCTTGGGTGACACTCAAGTAGTTATCTAAT